GGCCTCTAGTTGTTAGCCTCATAAAGTGCTCTGTGAACCACAATTGCAAATAACGTAATAAACTCTTTGCAGGGGGAAAAATAAAAGTTATGTTCTCTGTCCTGCACGCTCAACGCCAAGAAGAGAAGAAAATGTGCACACAATGTTTATGCAACATTTTTTGAAGGTTAAGTGAGTTTATTGGAGCTCAGTTTTTTTTATTGGTATTTATGAGCATCCAGGGACCTGTTGTCATGCTTGGCGCCCGGCCCAGGATCTAGTGAGTCAGGATTATCTGCTGAACAAGCTTCCAGGCTGTCTGGCTGCTTTCTTACTAACTGCGTATTCTTCTTTTTTTCCTTTAACATAACTCACACTGAACTTGTGTAACTATGCAATAGTGACTACTGACTACAGAAACAAGTACTAGAAGTTACAGAAAGGCAGAGTTGTAAAGTAACTAAGTACAAATACTTTTTACTGTACTTAAGTAGAAATTTTGGTTGTCTGTACTTCACTTATGTAGTTATTTTTCAGCCTACTTTTTACTTATACTCTACATTTTTATACATTTTCTGTACTTTCTACTCCTTCCATTTTTTAAAAAAGAAGTAGAAAGTTGTTACTCCTTCATTCTGACTTGTTATTGTTTTAAAAAATACTATCCTGATAAACTGCACCTGGATAAAGTGAATTTAATTGTGGTTGGATGAGAAGTATAAATATTTAACATTCTGACACCATATACACAGTCCATCACTGCTGCACGCCTTCTAAATATTTTTTTGAGAAATCACCTCCCAATAAACGTATTTTGGAAAATCTAACCACTCACTTGTACTAAATACTTTTACTTTTGATACTTAAGTACATTTCATAGTAGAAAATTACTTTTGATACTTAAGTACAAAACAAATCAGATGCTTTAGGACTTTTACTTCAGTAATATTCTTAAGAAATTACTTTTACCAAAGTAATTTTATGATAATGTAAGTTTACTTAAGTATCTCTTTGAGGTACTTTATACAACACTGCAGAAAGGTAAAGAAACGCTGCAGCAAATAACGTGGCTCTCATCTGTGTCTCACTCACTGATTAATTTAAATCAGACAAACAGAAGCATACTAAAAAGTAAGCCTCAGCTGCTGCATGAAAACAAGTCTTATCTTAAATAGTCTTGAACCACCAGGAGCAGAAAACACAAATGTTTCATGTTTCCAGTGTTTTAAATAGAAACAAACTTTAACTTCCAGCTTTAAAGAGTTAAATATAATAAGCTTTCACAAACTATCTGCACTTTGGGGGAGGATTGGGAGAAACATGTGTGTTCTGTAACAATCACAGACACAGTCAGGGAAACAAGACAAAAAAAAGGTGTGGAATTAAACATTTCAAAAAGTCCAGAAAGCTCCTAAAATTAAAGTGGGAGATATGAACCTGGAGTTGAACATTTTATGGGGAAAAAATAATAATAATTTGTAAAGCTTAGGCCGTAAAAAAATAAAATAAAATAAGATAGCAAACTGCTGGTCCAGACCTGTAAACTCCATGCTGTGACCTGTTGTTTCTTCCGTGAAGTTTGAGTTCTGGAACTCTGAACAGGTCTGGGGTTTCTCAACTTTTATCAAAATCCCTTTGTCTGAAGAAAACTCTTGCAGGTTTTTTTGGGGCAATTTTGCATGACAAACCACCACTAAACATCATATTCCATCATTCTCAACTGAGCCATGCACTTTAAATGTCTAACTTGCATGGTTTCTTTAAGCTGCAGGGCCTGAAAATGAACAGATTGTGACAGAAATGGAACAAAAAAATAAAAATTGTTTTTACTCTTTATGTTGGTTGTAAAGAAATAGGCATTTTCTTTTGAAAAGAAAACTAAAAAAATGTGCAACAATGAAACAAAATTCTTTCTAACCAGTTATTAAAGTTGAAAGAAAAGCCTGACAAGCTTCATCCTCTGCGCTGGTGTTTTCCTGCTCTGTTGCTCCATCGCCATGGCAAGCCGTGTCTCGAGGCCAGAGCAGGAAACCAGCGTGAGGGCTGTGGTCCCTGCGGCGGCGGAGCGAGGACGACGTGGAGTCACGCAGCTCCTGTGCTCCGAAACCACCAAATAAGGGTTTGGTATGAACGAACTGTGTGGTGTAAATAACAGTCTGTAATATCTGACTGCGCAGTACGAGTTTGTTTGACATCTGCGTCACGTGCGTCTAAAGATGGACTGGATCAGTGGTCTCAGCTCAAAACATCTGGATGATGGATGCTGGCTGATGAGCTGCTGCTTTCAGGAGCTCTTTGGACCTACATGGCTCTGGTTTATGGAGGCGGGACAGAAAAAAGAAATGAAAATGCCAGAGTTGAAGCCACTGCCAAGGTTTCTTTGTGGTCTGATTGATCTGAAATCCATCAGGTCTGACGTATTACAGAGGCTGAAGTGTGCTCTGGTTCGACTCGCACAGATGTGGGAACAGTTTCAGGTTTCTCAGAGAGCTTTTGTTTATGCTGCCAGGAGATTGGCAGCAATGATAAGTCTCATCTGCTCCTTGCTCCTGCTGTTTGGAAACTAATCTGCCCCGCTGGCTACTTCCTCATCTGGTGCTCTGTTACTGAAAGCAGCGGGTGAGATGCTCCTCTTTAATGATTCACGGCTTATCTTTTATCTAAACGTTCCAGAACGCCATTTAAATTGAGAAATACACAAACCTATGTTCAAACCTTCGTTAGGAGGTGCTTTAAATATGACTGGACAGACCCATGAAGGGCAGTGGATCATTTGCTTTGTCCTGATAAAACCACACAGCTTCTCTTCTAGCTTTGCATGGGAAATTGTTATATTATCCACTAAATAACTGAACATCTGATCTGAAGGAGGACATATGCAAAAAATAAAATGACAAAACAGAAAAGTGGAACTTTTGTAGCTGCACGTAAAGATTTTTATTCCCTTTAGAAATAGTCCAGTTCATATGTTTGAATACAGATGCTCTGAGCTATTATAAAGACTGATTAAAATGTTAGTAAATCATCATTTTAAACGACAGTAAGAGATGTATACTCACTGTGTAAAAGAAAGTGTGCACTCGCTGCTGGCCTCTGCTGCAGTGTGGGACAAGAGGGGATGCTTGACTTACAGTTTGTGCTTTTCACTTAGGACCTCCCTCCTCCCTAAAAAAACAAAAAAAAAATGCCAGCTTAAAAAGGAGGAGAAAGGAAAGATGACTTCACTGCAGAGAGGCAGAAGGAGGGAGCCGTGAAGGAGAAAGAGGAAGCAGACAGGGGAAGGAAAAAAAAAGGAAACTTCGTCCTTATAAGGCCGTGGCCTTTCAGCAGCTCCCTCTCCTCCCCGCCTGCCGCCTCTCCTCTCCTCACATCAGCTCCAGACGCCCTGCCTTATTTGGGTCGAGCTTTTCCATGTGGAGGGGAGAGACGGCAGCCAGGCGGCGTTGGTTTGGTCGGAGGAAGGAATTCTCCAAATACCTCTAATGCATCACTCATGGGTTAGGGCTGGTGGGACGGGAGGGGGAGCAGGAGGGGAACGAAGAGAAATTTATCAAGGGCTTAACATTCCTGTTAGGAATGCACATCACCTGCCATCTTTTATTTTCAAGTTTTAATTTAGGATGGCAGCCACATCCGCGCCTCGGGGTTTGAGTTTGTGCTTGAAACGTTGAAATTTTTTACATCATTATTTGTCATTTTATTTAAGTTATCGACATTTTTTTTATGTCTGCAAAAGTTGAACAGCAGTGTCGGCCATCTTGAACTGTTCAGATTCAGTACGTCAGTTAGTTGTACGCTCCAAAAATCATCCATCTAACCAACTTTTACAATCTTATATCAGCCAAAACATATTTCAGATTTTGTTTTGAGACTGAAACACTTAAGTGCAGAATGTGTTAGCCTGTAAATTTTCCTTTTTTCAGGAAGTCTTAAAGGCCCTGTCACACTAGACAACTCATCCCAATTTATGAACATTTTAAAGACGTCTACTTTGAAGATGTAATTGAAAAAAAAATCAACATGAACCTTCTTTTTGGCGTGTATATAATGTAATTCTAATAAATTGATCAAATATATAACTTCTATTAGCAATTTAAACATAAAAATCTTTTTATAAGTTGGCACAAATTGTCCAGTGTGACAGGGCCTTGAGTCTTACTGCACTGGCAGATTATTTCACCTAATTTGAGAAGATTCAGACTATAATTTAGTATTTTTAAACTTATTCTAGATGCCTATTTTTGCAGTGTAGATGTACATTTAATGATTTTTTTGGAAACTTTCAATAATACCTGTTCAGTTCACTAAATAATAATGAGTGCTTACTATAATAGTTAATGCAAAGGTTTTAGACAAGCATGTCGTGTTCTGAATATGTGTTGAGTATGACTCTCAGCTACTACCACACCTAATTTTAGATCAAAATCTTTAAAACTGACTGAGATATAGCCATTTATGTGTCAACTAATTTTGATTAGCTGTGATGTCAAACTTTCATTTGAATAACTCCTTCTTGTTATCAGATGTAGATGTGAATCCGGTGATTACTCTCTGAAAGTTTCATTAGCATTGCTCCTGTGGTTCAGGAAATGTTTTGCCAACAGACAGTCAGGGTTGATGTCAATGTTTAAACCAAATGTTTCAGGCAAAACTCTTGTGCAATGTGTCACCTTAAGAATATGTGCTAGGGACAACTATCAGCTACTTCCACACTGAATTTCAGCTCATTATCTGTAAAATTGGCTGAGTTATTGACATTTTTGTGAGTTGTGAGGTCAGTTAGCTGTGGCGGTCATCTTTAATTGCATTCACTCCAAAACTTAATCAGTCACAGATGTACATACAATGATGGTTTTCTAAAAGTTTGATTGAAATCCATCTACTGGTTCTTGAGATATTTTGCTAACAGGCACAAAAAATGGTTATTTGCACAGTTTTAAAAACAAAACCTTGCTTGAATTGGGGAGACTTTAAAAGTTAATCATTAGTAGATCTTAGTAAGAGAAATGATGTACAAACAATGGTTACATTATGAAAACTTAATTCAAATCAACCCTTTGAATCTGGAGTTATTTTGCTAACAGTGCAGACACAGACTGGCGAGAGAACAGAGTGTAGTGGTACACCTACACCTCTTATAACAGGTTATAAGGATGTGTTATTTAGCAAGGGATCTCTTTTATTTTGGGTACATTCCTCCAGTGCAAAAATGAATGGACACAAAAAGCGACTCCTTGTGAATTTTGATTTGATCCATAAATAAATGCGATCGTTTATTTTACAAATCATACAAAATCACTAAAATACACTTAATTGTGAACAATTAATATCCTATAAATGCTTTGAGACCAACAATAACAAAGCTTTTGTCAACCACAGACACTTTAAATAGGTGTTCAATACCCCTACAAGAGTTAACTGACAGTTAAAGAAATGTGAGGAAGAAGCTTCATGTTGAGTTAAACCTGTCCTGAGCAGAGACAGAACGATGAGAAGAGGAATGAGGTGGCATCATAGTCATCATCATTTAGTCCAACAACTCCATGTAAGTCCCGAGTGCTATCGCTGTTTGTAATCTGCGTGTGTGCGTGCGTGTGTGTTTGTGTGCACGCGCGTGCGTCCAGCCACCGCCAGTCACGACATTTCCATCACTTTTGTTCCATTACGAACGCCTTCAGGCACGACACTCCTGCTCACAGGGTGATCCTGGCCCTCAGCGGAAAGTCTGAAGCTGCACAGATCGGAGGAGTCGTACTCAGCAGCATTTACGTGTTTAAATACATAAACTGGATGTACACAAATGAATCCCTGCACGCAGCATTAAACAACAAATGGGTCCTCAGTCAGTGTATTTTCCTCTTGTGAACAAGGTTAATGTGTCTAAATTATTGTCTGACATTAGAATCTTCATTGGTATTACAAGAATATTTTAAATGGAGTTTTAAAGATGCCACTACCCTAAAATTTCAAATATCAACTTTGTAAGCTGACAAAAAATTCGTACAGTCACATAAACTTCTGTATTTTGAATATTTCTTCTATGGAATTTGATCTACAGAGCTCCAAAATCTCTTCATTGCAGATTTGTCTGTGTTGTCATCATGAACATTCACATACAATGACATTGAGCCTCATGCAAGAACCGTTCGTACGCACAGATTTGTTCTTAAATTGTGCGTACGAGTGATTTAGGAG